TTCCCCCCCCCCCCCCCCCCCCCTCCCCTGCCCTTTTCTAAGCTTAAAGACCTGGGGAGGAGCTTAGTGCGCACGGGAGAAAGACGTTTTTGAGCAACGCATGTCAACCGGAAGTGAGGCGATTTCCCTTTTAATATACCTTAACTCTACCAAATGTGTATTGCTCAGTGTCTTTACTCTTATAAAGACAATTCCCCTGAAAATTTAGGCATAACAACTGTTCAAGAATGCAAAATGTCTACTTCTGGTTGACGTTCGTCGCTCAAAAACGTCTTTGCTTAACTGGTCCCAATTGTCATCGACAGAGAGACATCTGGGTACGAGACATAAGACTGCGGAGTACCACATGATAATTATGACATTGAATAAGCTATTGTTTCCAATTCTTCCGCTGCAAATCATCATTGCCGTAATCTGACTTTACAACTCATCTCTTTTTTAGCATTGAAGTGATTTCCGCATTTTCTTAATTAAACGACCTCTTTCAGTTTATTTTAAACTTAGTCTTGACCCGGTCTTTGGTTGAATTTGAATTACTGAATTTTAACAAAAACGGTGTTTTATATCAAACAAGCTCTTGAGTGGTTCATTTTCAACTTTTTAAATGACTTGCCTTTATTGAGGTTCCCGCGTCAAATATGGAATTTAAAACACAGTATACATACCCTAGAAACAAAATTTAATTTCTTCAATAATGAAATAAGAACGGACTGACAAAGTTTGTTTGCTATGGGTCTTGGCTTCGATAAGTGAAGGTTAAAATCCCAATCTTGCTGTGCTTTAGGTAGATGCTAGATCATACAGGAACTATTGACTCACGAGACTAGATTATCATATGATCAGTACGAAATTCTAAGAACACACTGGATCTCAGTTTTTCAGTTTAGATCGTCATCATACTAACAACCAAACAGAAAATTAATGTTGATAGTCGCTCAGTCTTATATGTAAGTCACTGCTACTTCGTGCTCATGTACACAAATGGACTACAGTTCATCTGTAATAAAAAATAAGACAAATATTTAGAAACGTCAAACAAAGCCCCTCCCAACCTTTTAGCGAGCAAGCGCAAATTAACCTTTAAGCATAATTTAACACATTTTGTGAGGTTAATGAAGGACCCTGTCAGTAGTAGATCCACTGTATCCATTCCAAGGAAGAATGACATCATTGCTAAAACTAATCAGATGAGCATATAGGATGTATTTATAAGATTTTCGGTAAATATTATATGGTTACGATTAAAACTGAAGCCTATTCTTGACTACCATGTACTTATTACTTATACAGCTTAGAGTACAAGGTTTGTTCCGGCTAACTCAATGCAGATACAGTCACCTCCCCTTAATATTGCGCACACTCTAAGACCCATTAGTAAGTGCGCGTATTATAGTGACTGAATTTATATGAGGCGTATGTGTGAAGCGAGAGTTAAGCGTATTAGACTGAGGAACAGTTTTGCTGACTGAAATATCAATTGCCCTAGCGTTTTTTATCATTTCGTTTGTACTGACTGGCCTTGTACAGCTGAGGTAGGAAACAAGACAAGTAGGTAATAAAATCATGCGCGGCCCTTTCAAGGCCACTCTACGGACAGACTGGAAACCCGAAGGGCAAATTCAAACTTCCCGTAAACCAGATGAATTGCGTTGCCGTGCCTATGAAATGCTTTTATGGCCTAAGGATGTTTTGCGGACTCAGTCGGTCACAAAGTCGATCAAAAAGCCTAACGAAACGCGGATAACTGAAGGATCTTTTTAGAGCACCTCGGGATGTAGTCCCATCTCGAACCAAACAACTGACGCATTCATCTTATATTTCTTTTTCAGTTTGACAACGAGAACAAAACACAGCGCCTGTAGTGACACGGTCAAATGTTCCGAGAGTCTTCTTCACGAAGAGGGTTAACGCCGGCTTTCAAGAAGTAATCGAGAAATAAATGCTAGCTAGATTGGTGTGGTTTTTACTACAAAAATTCGTACTATGAGAGACTAGTCAAGGTGAAGAAAATATTGCTTTCTGAGAACCTTTAAACTATGCTGACTTAGATCAGCTCTTATTTTAAAATACCCTGCGAACAGAGTCTCCTTCGATCTTCCTAGATAAGTCGGGAAGAGGAAGGAACTCGCTTCCTCTTTCCCGACTCATCTAGGAAAGATCGAAGCGACTCTGCTAGCAGGGTAATTTTTAAAAGCCAAGTTCACTTACGGCTCTGATTTGGCCCCACTTTGCACCTCTGTTAAATTAAAGCCGAACAATTTCAAAGAAACATATTTCTCCTGAGTACCTAGCACCCCTAATGAGGCATTAAATACGTTTACGTTACAACGTTTGGGTAAAGCATGGGGTATTTTAACTGTAAGTGTTTATCTCATCTGCTTGGCAGTTGTCACTGGCAGAGTCCAAACACCTCGTAATCTGCAACATTGAATTTTGGGGCACCTGTGAAGAACGTGCACTGTTGTCCTGGTGGAAGCTGATAGGTGTGGCCGAGATTGCTGAGAAGGAGGGGGTAACACTTACGGTTGTTTCGCTCTCCCCCCACAATCCAGCGGTGCTCTTTTTTGGTTTTAAAAAACAGCCCCAAAACAAAAAAACCAAACTTCCGAACCTCAAAACCTTCAACCTCCCCTAACCCCCCCCCCCCCCTTCCCCCAAGTTATGGACCCGTCTACCTGTATACAAAAAATACATCTGATTATGAGCAAGAGCCTCCCCGGACATTAGTCCCCCTCCAAATAGGTTGGAATGAATTCGATTTATTATGACTTTTTGAAGCTTGAATAAAAACCGGTAATTGCAAAAGGTGTTTCAATCAGCACTGCCATAGCTTGTTTCGCAACGCTTTTTCTATTCTGATTATAAACCCCCCTCGGAGATAAACCCATTCGTTTATAAGCTCTCCAAAAACATGCTAAAAGCCCTTACAAAGATGTATAAGCCCAGGGCTTATAAGCGACAGTTTGCGGTATTCAAGCGTCTGATCAGATGAGCTCGTTGTCATTCAAAGAAGAAAGTTTAGGACCGATGCCAAAAAAGGTGTCAAGAGCAGTACACAAAAAAAAAACTCAAAAAAATTTTTCAGTGACTAAAGAGCTTACTTTTACCATTCACTTTCATCTACCTTTCTTCTGAATAAAAGCGTGTGCACCCATTCAGACACCCTCAGCAGTAACAACATGTGGTGTCAACATGCTGGATCACCTTTGTTTGTTAAACGATGAGGAAGGATTTCTTGGATCTAAAACAAATTCTTGAACACTGTTAGTCTGCTTTCACAGTCTGCTTCGCCTGCGTGGCAGGCG